CACTCAGGTGGCGCACCAACACGCCAGCAGCATCTGCCAATTGCAGCGAACGAAGAAGGTCATCCACAGCGACGGCCAGATGATCTGCGTCCTGAAGCCCACGCAGACGTCCAAAGAGGCGAAGAGTCTCACTTACGGTCAGGTAGTCGGGAAGAGCATCGAACTGTGGACAGTAGCCAATAGAGTGCTGAGCCTGAGGAAGTAGGACATTGTGAGGGAAGCACACTGTAAATAGTCTGAAATTATGCAAAATCAAACAGTAAGATGGCAAAGATTGCAGAAAAAACAGAAGACGCCCTCTGTAGAGAGCTACTATTCCATCCGTAGTTCGCACCATCAAGGGACAGAACCCTAGCCGAAAAGGCATCCTAATCCGGCCCTGGATATGAGAAAGTGCTTGTTAGTCTTGAAAAGTAACTGGCAGGCAATATTATAGACCTGTAAGCAAGCAAACAAGCCCCCAAAAACTACCTGTTAGATACTTACTGGCCTACGGTCTAAAAAGAAGTTGTGGTATATAAACAAGAAATACTAACATCCCGAATAAGTTTCGAACCAACCTGCAGCTGTATTTGCGTTCAAGGCTTCAAAACTCCATGTTGTATGTCTTCCGGGTGAGAAAAATCATATTTCTCTAAGCTATTAGGAAGACACCATATAACCACCAGGACGACTTGCCATGGATGTGAACGATGTTGCATCCTTCATAAACAGCATCAATCAAAGTAAAGATACCACGCTAGTTGAAGTTGCATTACAGCGGCCTTAAAAATCACCATAATTAAAAATAAAAAAGAGAAAGGCTTTTTTGGGAAGGTTGAAAATTTAATGCTTAAATTTTCGAGACAGGTTCCCCCGCTCGTCTTCAGACCTGAGAAAAAGTGCAGCAAAAAATTAAAATTTTAAAGGTCTAGAAAAATCAATATTTATCTGACGTACACACCTATTGGAAGAATTATGTCAGTCTGCGCTGGTAGGCATTACGTGCATTTCGTCATTCCACTGTGGTTGGTGGCGCGCATTGAATTTGACCTTGAGGTAATTATAGCTGGCGTCCAAATCAATATGTCTGTTGATAAGTGCCTCGTCTGAGTGCACTGTTTCTAGGAATTAACGGCTAGTTCTAGTTGGATAAGTGCCAACAATCGTGTGTTCTCCCATGCGAAGCCTTTCTCTTCTTAATTTAATATCTTAGGGATGCCCGTATTTCAATGCAAAATGACAAATCTATTTAAAGTCGAAAGAAACATTCTTCTCAACTACAACATTTGAAGAAGAAGAAGAAGAAGAAGAAGAAGAAGAAGACGTAATTCCTGACCAAATCCACGTAAAAATTCAAGCACTGAAAATGCAACTGGGAGTGAGGCGGGGAGGCTTACAAGTCGTTGCTGTTTCAGAGTATCATAACCATTGACTAAGATCTTGCCGTCTGTGGGATCCAACTGACCAGTTACCATGCGAAATAGGGTGGTTTTACCGGCTCCATTCACGCCGAGAAGACCAAAACACTCGGCTGGTCTGATAGCCAGACTGCAGTTGTCCACAGCGGGAGAGGGAAGAAGGCCTCGGCAGTTGACGTCGTACCTCTTAGTAACACTCACCAACGCGATACTACGTTGTACCAAGAAATGAAGGAGAAAGGTCAGGTATCTGTTTTGAAAAAGGACGTGCAATATTAATGTGGACAAAGTTCTGACAAAATCCTTATTGTGGTAGATGAAGCTTACTGATCGCCTTACGAGAACTACTCGTCCGATCGTGCCTTAGGGCTCTATCTAGGACCGCATCAGCAGTCAAAAAACCAATAGTAATATACGCTGAATGAGACTACCGGCGGAGACAAGGGAGATGGAAACAGCCATTTCTGACTTATTAGCTGTCATTAACTAACCTTATCCAACCCCAGGTTC